CACGTCGCCTAGCCACACTTTCTACACGAATACGAAACAGTTAGAAAAAAACTGCAACACTAAACACCCAAATCCGTACCTATGCCAAATCCCTCCCCCCCCCCCAAAAAAAAAAAAATTCACAGCCAGACCCAAGATCCCCCCCCCCCCCCCCCCAAGAACGTCGAGGAGACCTACCATGCGAAGTGGTTCTCTATCATGGAGATGGTTGCGTGCGCGACGTTGCGCTGCTCGGCGGAGAGCCCTGCGTCCAAGTCCTGGTTGTAGCGCTGACCCAGCTCCTTGATGATGATGGCGGAGTCGGCGACCTCCTCGCCGTTCACCTCCACGAAGGGCAGCTGACCCTTCTTGCTCTTGTACTTCATCTTGTGGTCAACATTCTGCAATGGAGAAGAAGGGGTCAGTCACGGCTGTGTTGAGATTATGTAAAGAGGGTAATGCTTTGATTCGTGTATAGTTACTGACAAGTTAGTAATTGGGTTAAAAAAAGTAACGCGTTGCTAAAATGGTAATTATAATTAACAAATTATGCAATTCCAGAACTTCTACGAGCCGACTCCCTCCCCCTCCCTCCCTCCCTCCCTCCCTCCAGTCAACGAGTCAACAGTAGGGCTCATTACTGTCACGGCCCACAGACAGGTGGCGCGGTCGCTGGTTACAATTTACCGGTGCAAGGAGGCAACCACCCATATGCGCCCTCGCACCCAACCGTAGCAAGGGGGGGGGGGGGGAGCTTTAAAAAACCGTATACATAAAAATCAAAGCTTCATTCGAGAAGCCTAATGAGACCAGCGAGGAAGCAAGCAGGCAGGCAGGCGCGCACAAACAACCTCGCTGCACAAACTCGCTATTAATACAATCAGGAGTTTAAAAAGGATTAATATCTATCCGCTTCATCCGGACGACCCCCCTCCCCCCTCCCCCTCCGTCCCTCATTCGTAGAAGACGCAACAAATCTGATCCACTCACACGCCGCGATCGTTCGACGAACCAGCATCCATTTTAGATCTCTCTGCTCCCGTGCAAATGCCAGGGCGGAGGCTTAGCGTGTGGGGGAGCACCAGTGATGGAGGGAGAGGAGAGGGAGGAGAGGATGGATGAGGGAGACAAAGATGGAAGAGAGGAAGTAGAGAAAGCGGAGCGTTAAGAAAGAAGGGAAGAGGAATGTGGAAAGGAAGCGGGGACAAGGGGATCGCCTCGCGCGCGTGTCCACATTTCCCATAATACTTTTACGACCAAACCGAGATCGCGATCTTAAATGAGTGCGCGGGAGATCACACACCTCCTGGGTACCTTCTACGTCAACCTAGCTGACACCTACGTCGCCTCCACGACACCTGCAGATTTTACCGCGACACAAAAACCCACAAACTATTACAAAGCGATACGTGATCCGCGTCTGTGTCGGCAGGCTAACCGGCGACAATACGTGCAAAACGATAGATGACTCGGGCCTTATCTATCGACAGCAGCGAGATTGAATCGCCCCCCTCCCCCTCTTCTGCCGCCCAGCATGACATCAGACCAGTCGAGGCGTCTAAATAGGATTATCGATCGCCCAGCGGCCTGGTCGGGTCAGTAAATCCCACTGCAGCCGAATCCCCCTCCCTCCCTCATTCGTAGAAGACGCAACAAATCTGATCCACTCACACGCCGCGATCGTTCGACGAACCAGCATCCATTTTAGATCTGGGAGAGGAGAGGGAGGGAAATAGGGAGAGGGAAAGAGGGAGATGGAGAGCGGGGGGCGAGGGGGCCAGCCAAGGCGTAAACAGGGCGCATCCCGGCGCAGACGTGGAAGGCAAGTCCTTTGTGCCGGGAGAGCCTGGCCGTGGCGCTGGCAGGGTGCGGGCGAGAGCGGGTGCGCTGCAAGCGGGGGGGTAGGGAGGGAGGGGAGGGGAGAGAGAGGGGAAGGCAAAGCGAGCGAGAAAGAGGAGAGGAGAGAGAGAAGTGGAGGAGGGGAGATGGGGGAAGGAAATGAACGCGTTGGGATCAATATACGCACGTGCACCAGCCCCTCGCGCGTGATCCGTAGGAGACACGAACGCACAACTTTTTCGCCTGCCACTTTTCCCTTTCGCTTACCTCCTCTGGAATAAATCGGGCCGTTGGTGTGATCGGCATGGAAACAGGTTTAGAATCTGCATCGCGCCGGGGTAGAATGGTGCCAGGGGCCGCGGAGAGGGGAGCCGAGGGAGGCAGCGCGGATGGAGGCGAGGGAAGGCGCGAACCAGCTCATCGCCTCGCGCGCGTTTCCCGTGTCCACATTTCCCATAATACTTTTACGACCAAACCGAGATCGCGATCTTAAATGAGTGCGCGGGAGATCACACACCTCCTGGGTACCTTCTACGTCAACCTAGCTGACACCTACGTCGCCTCCACGACACCTGCAGATTTTACCGCGACACAAAAACCCACAAACTATTACAAAGCGATACGTGATCCGCGTCTGTGTCGGCAGGCTAACCGGCGACAATACGTGCAAAACGATAGATGACTCGGGCCTTATCTATCGACAGCAGCGAGATTGAATCGCCCCCCTCCCCCTCTTCTGCCGCCCAGCATGACATCAGACCAGTCGAGGCGTCTAAATAGGATTATCGATCGCCCAGCGGCCTGGTCGGGTCAGTAAATCCCACTGCAGCCGAATCCCCCTCCCTCCCCCTCACTCCTCTTCCACTCCCCCCTCTCCAGGTGGTAAAAACACTGCTGTCACGCCAACATCACTGCGGCGGCGGCCACCACTGCCCTCATAATCCTTTTTACACACCTTTCCCCAACACCCGCAAAAGAAAAATATATAGGCCTACGCTCACACGCCTGAGACCGGCGAGTACCTGACACGCGGGCTCGGTCGCCTGCTGGATTTACGCCGCCGTAAATCGCCGCCACCGCCCCTTTTAGCGCCGCCCCGCCCTCCGTCAGGTGGCGGTCGGTGTCAGGCGGTGCCGGCGATCGTCACCCGGGCCCTCGACGCGACGCGGCTCCATGCCCGACCGCCACGCGTGCGAGAGGTCCAACCGCGAGAGCAAAGCAAGCAAAACCAGGCTACGCCACGGCTGTCCCTCGAGGGCGCGCCGCTGACCGCCCGGGGACAGGCGCTGGTCGACATGATCTCCAAACAGCGGCCGCCTCAACGCAGCGATATTGACATTCTGGCCAATTTATGGCCTGGGGGAGGGGGTGGAGTGGGGAGGTAAGGGCAGGGAGAACGGAGGAGGGAAAGGTGCCACATCGCCCCCTACCCTCCCACCCCCCGACACTGCATCATGCTGCGGCCGACGCTTAATATCTCGCCGACACGAACCCTCCCGCCAGGTATTCAGAGGCGCGAAGACGACAGACAGGGCCTCCGCCGCGCTGGCGAAGGCGCGGGACACGAGTCCGTCCTTGTTCACGTGGAGGCTTCGAGGGAGAGAAGGGAGAAGAGGGGGAGAGCAACAAGGAAAGGGGGTGAAGACGAGAGAAAGGGAGGGGAAAGGGAAGAGAAACGATATAACTGGGATAGAGAAAACAAGGAGGGCAGAAAGCAAAAGGAGAAAGATGGGGGAAAAACGAAAGTTAAGGTAAAGGTGAGGGTGACGGTAGGGGAAGGGGAATAGGGAGGGTGATACGCCTCCCACCCAAGCCACGCGAAAGGGGGAGGGAGAAAGACCCCCCACCTCGGTATCCGTCACAGCTCTTTACTTATTTACAGGTAAAGTTCTCACCCCAAAAATCGATGAACCCGACGCCGACCTGACGCAAAGGGCGGAACGAGGGGAAAGCGAGGGGAAGGATGAACTTTAAAAATTGGGGGGTGAAAGCATGGGGGTAAGGGAGGAGGGGAGGAGAAGGGTGGAGGGGAGGGCTGGGAGGGGAGGGGAGGGAAGGGAAGGGGCAAGGAGAGGTAGCGAAGTGGGGGAGGGAGGTGGAGGGGAAATCTGGTATACGGAGAGCTTGTTCCCTTCCCGGTTGAGGAAGGAAGGAAAAGGCGAGGCTGAGGGAAGCAGAGGGGGCAAGGAAAGGGGGGAAGGGGAAGGGGAGAGGGGAGGGAGGTGAAGGGGGAGACGGACAGAGGAAGGAAAGGGGAAGAGGGAGAGGACGAGTGACGAATTGACATGCGTTTCGACACCATTAATCCTATTCCAGCCCCCCGCCAACCCTCCCTCCCTATTTCCCTACCTCCCCTACCCCCCCAACCCCAGGAACCTTCGACCCAAGGCAACCTATTCCCTTCCCTTCCGCCTCTCGCGATCTCGACTCCACGCATGTAAATCCCCACAGCGCGCCTGGCATCATTAAAGGGATTTGAGGAATTAAGGCGGTCTCTCCCCACTCCCTACTTACTCCAACGCCCTGAAGGCGCCCACCAGGGAAGCGAAGGGGACACGGACGGAGGAAGAGAGAGAGAGAGAGAGAGAGAGAGAGAGAGAGAGAGAGAGAGAGAGAGAGAGAGAGAGAGAGAGAGAGAGAGATAAACCTCTTGGAAACCGATGACCGTCTCAAGACCGCCGCCCCGCGTCCTCAAGAAGCCACCGAAGACACTCCACCGAATCGAACACAAAAGTCGACGAAGATCCTTTTAAAAAGAAGAAAAAAAAAAAAGTGTCTTGATCGATCTCCCCCGCCCTTCGAGATCCCCACCCCCACCCCCACACCTTCAAGACGCCGCCGCCGCCACAGGAGGAGACCGGGTGTGATGGCGTAACCCGACGCAAGAGACTCCAACGGAACGTCTCGGCCTCTCCGCTCACGCACGTACCCGAGCCAGCTTCCCTTTCCTCCAGTGAATTTTACACGGAGCAGTGAGCATTTTCCTTCGCGAGAGTTAAACGCCAAAAAAGTACAAATCGCTCAACGAAAAAAAGGGGACAGTAATCACTTGACACAAGTATGACAAAATCTCGACGGGGAAAAAAAAACTGAACCCATAACATAGTAGTCAAGAGACGTGGATGTGTGTGACGTGACAAGCATAACGTGACGTGAAATGACCCTCCTGCCCGCCCCCCTCTAACCTCCACACGCCACCCCCCATCCCGTCCCTCCCTCAAGCGCAAACTACACTTACTGTTTTTTAATGAGCACATAAATTTCGCACGACCTTGGCCTAGTGAACCCAAAGGCACGAATTCGTAAAGCACCGCGAATCAGATCAAGCGGAGAAGCAGGGAGGGGGTAATCAGAGGAGTGGGGTAGGGGGGGTAGGGGGAGAGGGGACGGAGGGAGGGAACGGTGGGGAGGGAGAGGGAAGCGAGAAAGGAAAGGAGGGGGAGACAGAGGGAAGAGGGAAGAATAGGAAAGGAGGAAAGGGAAAATGGGGGAGAGGAAGAGGGGAAGGACGGGAAAGGGGGGAGAAGGGAGAAGGCCACATCAGCATGACAGCCGCCCACGC